TAATATCATACGATATGCATTGAGAAATACCATACGATATGCATTGAGAAATATCATACGATATGCATTGAGAAATACCATACGATATGCATTGAGAAATATCATACGATATGCATTGAGAAATATCATACGATATGCATTGAGTAATACCATACAATATGCATTGAGTAATACCATACGATATGCATTGAGAAATATCATACGATATGCATTGAGAAATATCATACGATATGCATTGAGTAATACCATACGATATGCATTGAGAAATATCATACGATATGCATTGAGAAATATCATACGATATGCATTGAGTAATACCATACGATATGCATTGAGAAATATCATACGATATGCATTGAGAAATATCATACGATATGCATTGAGAAATATCATACGATATGCATTGAGAAATATCATACGATATGCATTGAGAAATATCATACGATATGCATTGAGAAATATCATACGATATGCATTGAGAAATATCATACGATATGCATTGAGAAATATCATACGATATGCATTGAGAAATATCATACGATATGCATTGAGAAATATCATATAAGAAGATATAGCGATTAAGTCGATGACGTCATTATTATACCTAAACCTGCAAGTTAGTCATTGTAATCTTTTTCAATGATAACATCATTCGTTCTATTAGAGGGCGTCATAGGCGACCTACACATATTAAAGTCACCGGGACATAGGCGGGGTGCACGGTAACCTTATGTAGATCATGACCTATACTCTCATGCAGGTTGAACAACATTGTGCCGATAAAGTCGATCAATTTAGATCAAAGCTGCACATTGTATGCCTTAATCACAAGTGATCACAACATGACAAAATAATATGTAAGTATAATAAACTTAATTTTGTATAAAACATGTCCGAGATTTGTTTTAGTTGAGATTAAACTAAAAAATATAGCCTTATTAGGAGAGTTGCTACCGTCGCCTGAGAGACAACCTGCCCGTTTCTTGTGCGCATGATAGTATGTTCGACTAGTAGGCTCGTTCGCAGATGGTTCTTTAGATGCACAGTGAATATTAATATACGAACACAAATGAATGTAACCTTTACAAGTTGTGTTTTATATCAAACATTTGCGTATCATGCAGTGGTATGATAAATATATATTTGAAGACAGTTTTAGTAATTACTGGTTACAGACAAGACATATACAATAGATTGTATGACGTAATCGGAGAAAAATACAAGATGACACTGAAACCCGCAAGGTGTATATTTTCGTCGTTTCCATTGTTGCTGCAACCATGTCAACGTTTTGAAATTCTACGATACATATTATCGAACATATTAAAATATGGTACAGAATTATGCAAAAAATACTCAAAGTTATTCTCATTATTTCATTAGTAACTGCGACAAAACATAATTAAACATGTCAACGTTACTTAAAATGGTGACATTTTGTTTTTATTAATCCTGAAGGCAATAATTTCAAAATTTGCAACGATATTTCAAACGTCAAACTATTCACTCATGTACACATCATCATCAGTAGTGGATTCGTGTATACAATGCAACTGTGGGGATTAGATATGCACATTTTATTTTTCACACAAGAAGCTTCTGATATCAAGGCAATGTACGAAAGAATGAAGTGAACATTTGTCAATTTTTGGTGGAAATTAAAACTGGCGTCTAATCCACATGACAGGTATAGTGAAAAACCCATACAAAATGTCAAGCTGATTGCATAACACACATTCAAGAAAAACAAAAATCAAAGATGGCGGCCAAATCGCACGACTGGTCCGATATTGTAATTGTTGTGCTTGGTCGAAGGAGGTTAGTGTAGAGATGCAAAAATGGCAAATTTCAAATAAATCTTATAACGTTGGCATCAGTAAAATCACTTCCTGTTCGGAAGAAATCCGAGATTGAGTCCAAACCACGTGACCATTCATAAAGAACTTTGAAAATTTACTACTTATCACTGCTAGATGCTAACAAACTAGAAAAAACGGAAGAAACAAAATCAGGTTACAAAAGAGCTCCAAGTCCCGAATGCTTGGACTCCAAATAAAGGATAAACAGTGAGAACATTTATCACATTCTGTCCTAGTTTTTAGCATTAATCTTAATTTCAGCTTAGAATCATCTGTTTTATTTTTAATGTAGAATGCTTTTTAATTATCGGGAGTCAACATACCATATAATATAATCATGAACTAAACTTACCGTAGATGGCGCACATTGTAAAAATACACAACAAGGACTTCATCGTGTGAGTAGATCTGTAGAGACAATACTTCTTTATTACATCTATCAAAAGAGTGATGGGTGTTCAAATTTTGGTGGCGTACACTCTCAGGCGTGAGTTTATCCATGATGATTCGAGGGGATTAGGTTTAAATATGGAGTTTGTGAAGATTAAAGCTTCACCGGGGTAAAACCAAAATTACACTATGTTGTGTACACAGTATTGAGTGGAAATGTATGATTACACATTTCACCGCGCACTCGGACAATATTTAAACGGGACATAGCATTTAAGATCATCGAAATACAGGAGCCCGGCGGTCGAACTTGTCGATCCATTGACGTACGACAACCGCGCTTGTAATTTCACTGCGTTTCCAATGCGACGTGTTGTTAAACGTGAACACACGTGGACAATACAGGGATAAAAAAGGACTCTTTTTTTGATGCACACAAAAAGTGTTTTGAATTCCATTCCAAATGCGTCAATTGAGAAATTTCTGAAGATAAAACGATGCTTTTCGTTTTTTTAATTTTCAGACAGTGTTTTGGGGGCAAACATTTGAGCTTAGAAATTCACGTTGATTGATTGAAGATTTCGCGAATAAATGTACAAACCGCGTAACTTGTCCGGTCAAAATAGTTTTCAAATTTCATTACCTAGTTTCTTTACATTATATACAAGGTTTGTACGGAATTATACAGATATCTTGATTCTGTCGTATTTGTTTTTATGTAATTCACATTTTGTTAAGTTAATGTTAGAAATGACTATAGTTTTTTTTTTTCTCCTTTTTTAGTGTTATACTTTCCCGCCAAATACAGAATTGAATGTGGAGTATAGGACACTGACGCCTGTATTGGAATGACCTCTTTTTTTCTTTATATAGCTCGCTAATACCGGATTACCAAGCTGAAATTTTAACGGATTTGAAGAATGGTGGACGAAACAAATAATCATACCGATTTATAAACCGAACAAGTCCCATATGTGTGCACGAAAAAACGAAATCGAATCTACATTTAATTTACTTCGACTGTACATTTTTATAATGAGTACAAAATAGGTTGAACTTTGAAAAAACACACACACACAGAACTGACATGTAAATATACTAATAATAAATGATGATAATTTAATCTTTATTATTTTGTGCCGTAAAAATCAACATATCAATAAGTTGTTCGCATGTGAGGCTCTCATTAGCTATCATACATATGCGCGCAAGATCGCTTACAAGAAGTCACGACAGCGCATTGGATTTCCTGGAACGTAGCATTGTGGGATATACTTACTGTGTTTGTAGAACACACTGGTAGTCAGTCAAATAACGGTATCGCCCAGGCGGTCAATAATTTTGATAAGCCAGAAGAATTTCAGGTTCTCTTTTTGATCAATCTTGCATTCGTATTTACTCCATCGCCTGAACGAGAAGGCTATTTCAATCGGATCAGCTGTAACCAGGTGGTTGTCATCTGACGTTGGTTTACTTTTCTAAATACGTACACTATATACCCTTATAAATATATGAAATATGTAAATCTCCAAATTAAAGGAACTGTCAGTGAACAGTTGCCACGATCAACATAGCGTTCCGGTATCCACCGAGGTCCAATAAACAAACTAGCGCGGTTTACTATTTATGAAAATTGGATGAAAGCATCAAAACAAATGAATGATTCACTGATTTTTTTGTATAAAGGTAAACGTGACCACCAGACAGCCATATTGGATCAGCTCAAAACATATTTATGTACATATGCAAATGAACTCATATCGCGTTTGAATAAATTCAGGGATAAGTTTTGTGTAAATAGTGTACTTATGGAATGGGATATGTAACTTGGGCAAGACGCTGTTCGATTATGAATTGTCATGAGCCAAAAAAATGTGGTTCTTATATCATTTATATCACTGAGTGAAACAACGATACCCTATAAATACGCATGCGCGAGGATTATTTTGAAACGTACAATAAGTCAGTGCATATGCGTATTATTTTTATTTATTTATTCATGAAAATAATTCAGTGTTTACAACATCAATAATAATGCAGTTTTGACATTATCATGTATTTTTGAACAACAGTATCATAAAAATTCGTGTGGACGTTGGCCTTATTAGTTAGGGTTTAATCACGGCCCTGGATCAAATGCAGCAATGAAATAAGTGAGTTTGGAAATTAAATGACCAAAAGTGAATTAGTTTACACAGCTTTTACTTTTGTGTGTTTAAAATAACCATGAAGAGGGCGCTGTTTAGGAAATAAAATAAACTATGATAAATAAACATTTACGAAAGTACACCCGTGATGTCAAAACATCAGGGTAGGTACCCGGTGGTGGCACTTCCAGAAAAAAACTGGTACGCATCCGCGCGCGTTCCTATATTCTTGGAGAAAGGTGGTTATTTTTGTTGAATACCGCGGTCCGTGATATCATAAAAAGAGGTACTTTAAAAAAAAAACAATTGGGGAAAATGTGGCGTTCAACGATCCCCGGCAGCTCAATGCGCACGTACCCGGTGTATGCACTAAGAAGAATGCCACGGCATATTAAACAGAGTGAACTTCGTAATCGGGAGATAGAGGTGATAGTATCGTTCATGACAGGAAAATGGCGTTCGACAGTCGCGGAGTACGTCGTGGCAGAAACGAAAATTGTGAAACATGCAGTGAGTTTGTGAATGAAAACAAGCCAAACAGCCTGCGATGTGGTTATTGTGGTTGTGTTCCAGAGGGTTCATGTGGTGAGCTGTACAACACATAACACTAGTAGGCGTGATTCTTTCACCTCGTCATTCACGTAGTATCGTACTCATATGGCCATTGTAATTTATGTATTAAAGCGCGGTGGTCGTCGCGCAGCGCGTGTTCGAATTTCATGTAAATAAACAATATATTTTACACGCGTTGTATACGTCGCTATGAGTCGGCCGTCACGACGACTGCCGCCCTTTAAGTCCTGTGCAAAGTTCATATTCCGGCCAAACGCGAGTCATTATTTCCACCAGGTTTTATGAGTTAAATGGTGGATTTGCTTGTTTCTGTGAGGGTCCAATCGGAGGTTTAATATTGTTAAAATTGTCGTTCATATAAAGATGGTTTCAATGTTTTGATGAAATGTGTGCCCGGGAATCTATGGCTGTGAGGGGGCTGTGATGGTATATAGATGGCGCTGTGAGGGCGCTGTAAAACCTGAGTACTAGTAGTTTATCCCTGGGGATGATCAGTTCTATATTTAAGAATGATAATGCATATCATAATATTTTAATTCCGTTTTATATTTTTTTTGTTTCAGATTACTGATTTTTTGTTTGTGTCAAGTTTTATGACTCTCATCCGTCCCAATGTTTTTTTTAAGTATTTTTAGTTCTTTATTTATCATAAAATTGCATTTTCCTACTCATAAGCAATAATCAAATTGTATATATATGATAGTGACAAACATAGAATGGAGTGCTTTTTGGCAGATGCTACCCCCAATAGAACAAAACACAGAAGGCCACCAAAGACAGATGGAAAAAAATCAGACATTAGATGGTCGCTTTCTGTCAGTGGAGCAACATCTACAGCATGTTCCAGAAGGATAATACAAGTTATTATTTATGACTCCTAAAATATGCACACATAGTGTTAGGTAAATAAATACAAGCTCCCAGATTTTGAAAAAAGTGTGTGTTTTTTACTTGAAATTTCTCCCAGTTTTAGTATAAATAGGGGGTCTTTTGTGTTTTATGTGGAATTATCAACTTGCCTGAGGGGGCTCATCTTTATGATCAGGCCGCGGAGCGCCCGCCTTAAGATTACCCACATTTCAAAATCATTTTTAAAATTATTTTTGTCAACATATCCATCGTTTCTGAAGGTTGTTGTATTGTTAAGTTCAAGCTTTAATCATTAGTGAATTTCATTAAATTATAAACATGGGGTCAGCGACCTGCACGCATTTTCTCAGTTTTACCATTTTAAATTACCACATTTTCTGATTTCTACTGGTACTTACAACAGAAATACAAGGATTATTTTGTCTACTCACAGACCATTCCCTACATCACCGCATAACGAAGCAATACAGAAAAGAAGTACTCTCTGGATCGCTCTGTAAGTTAACAATTCCATGATGCATTCGCATTGTTCTATAGCAATGTAATAATCAAGAAGCTGACTTTTAATAATAATAAGTGAACTAGAAAATCAGATTCGTACAACATTACATAGACAATCTGTCTCTAAAATCAAGGGATGTCGCTGTGTAATATTTTAAAAATATCACAAGCAGTTGTTTTGTGGTATTACTAATTTTCTACAACGATTTGGGGCCTGAATTCTGAAGAATGGCGAAATAATGTAAGCTGTCCTGTTTTATTTTTACAAATGTAAAAACCATGTCACCCTTTTTCAGCGGATGGCTGAACAACACTATTTTGCAATAATTTAAAAGTATTATTTTATATTCATTATGACATGTATCTATGGCAACTAGAAAATAATTCGTAATTTAATAGTGACGTAATATTGTTAACTGCTACATCAACCTATCAATTTGAAGGTTGTATAGAACAGATACGTATACTAAATTTAAAATTTAAACGGTATTCTTCTCAAACTCAATATATTTGAAATTTGATTAAAATTATTTCAACAAGTTTTTTTACAAGCAAGTTTGATGCCACAAATATATATTTTTATTTCTACTGAATCGTAATATTATTTGAACAATTACAAAGAGCGGCAGTTGATTTACTTTCAGTATCAAGCATTTTGTTGAAAAACGTAAATATTGAAATATATATTTGTAATACAATTTAGAGGATTCTGTAAACAATGTATATATATTTTATTTTATATGGAAAACAATGACATAGCGGACATACTTTATTTTCTCAATACATACAACAAAGTGGAAACAGTCCAATCTAATAATTTATAATAGATTACAAGTTACAATATTTGATTTAAACTGTCTATTTGTTTCAAGAGTAAACTTCATTGTTAATATGCCGTGAACATTTGCACACTATATGATTGTTAGTTGAATACACTCAAAAAAAGAGAATGGGAATAATTTGTTTAGTAAATAATACTATTATACATCTCCGTAATGTCATAAGTCTGTAAATTTGCGGTATTTTACGGGGTTTTTCGTCCTACCATATAAGGAAATGCAAATTCAAAATATGGAATAATCACGTGCGTGACAGACATGGCATCCCCCACTCAGACATACAATGCGCGGTCGCATCGACCTCCGCTGTGCGTCGGTCGATAGTCCCACTCTACTGTCTTCGTGTATACTTTGCAGTATCCTCGTAATAACCTCATAATATTTTCGAATATTAGACGAAACTAATGATAATTACTGAACACTCACCACAACCATCACAGTCAATCCTCGAGTATCATACATATACAATATGAATGAATGTGTTGAAAGTTTTAATTAACTTAAGGTGTATTGTACCTACAGAATGACCCACACGATGACGTCATTGATATGTGTATTGACAATGTGCGTCCTATACGGTAAGCAATTTGTTATAAAAAAAACAACAACATTTACATTCTGAATTTGGCTTATTTCATACAGTGGACTCTGAGCTGAAATTAGTAGCTTCACGGATTGTGTCCCATATTGCCATGGAAATACCCCCCCCCCCTCAACAAAACCCCAAATGGTATACAGTACGTCAAAACTAATCTGGTGGTTTTCTATTACACAATTACTTATCACTATCTCATCATTGAATGTAACATTTAAATGTTGGATATTAGTTTGACCCCCACAGTCCGACAACTGAATACACCTAAATACTGACTGTACCTAAATAACCGCTGTTTACCATTGACGTACTCTTGATGAATACTCCATTGAATATCGCCTCTATTTTCACTATCACTATCTGGATAAAAGTGTACCCGGGTGATCCGTTTGCTATAACGCCCAGGAATGCTAAACATCCATGCAATGTTCTAAATATACATAAATCCAACTTTTAAAATAAACAAATAAAATAGAAATAAAATTCCTTTTCTTACAGTGCGAATTTATACATTCCCATGACAACAGTATTCATCGTGTCTGATTTGAAATATGATTTCAAGAATTTTGCGTGCAAGAAAATTAAAGCTGAGAACATACTGTAAAACATGTTGAAAAAGCGGCATGTAATTTTAGCGAATTGTGGTAAAATGACAAAATAGCGAAATGTTGATTTAGCGAATTTCTCTTGTCATTGTTGATTTCCTGTTTTCACAATACTTGTCTGTCGCGCGCCGAAACAAATGCGCAGTTATCACCGTAAAAACAAAGAAAAACTGTCAAGTGTAATTTGATTCTGTTCGCAATCATAAAAAACTGATTCAACAGGGATTTGAAAAAGAGGGTATCGTTGCTGCGTTACATCCAGAATATTGACTTTTTATATTAGGACTCAA